CTTCCTTTCAGCCGTGAGGCTGTGTTCATGCTGTTATCTGATCTTAGGTGCTAAAGGTGAAATAAAGAGGGCGGTAAAATGCAGCATGTCGTTTCAGAGGGTAGAATATAGAATACACATTACATGCACCAATACATATCGTTGAAAGCCTAACAAGATTTGACGCTAGCACTTATTCCACATTTCGTGGTGGTAATGAAGGGATTGTGCAAAGGGAATTCCGAGGATGTCCTAATGAGAGGTGCTGCGGTGCTCACTCGGTGATTTTATGTTTGAACGGCTATTTTCACTTCCATTTGATTACAAGTGTTGAAGATATGAACTGTATCAAGGTCTCACTTGGATTCTTTGATGGAAACAGAGTTGACGCGCTTACAGTGGCTCTGAGGTTACTGGCAAGTAGGAGCAATTCCATCCTACATACCACTGGTGTGATTGAGAATTGTGTTGCAAGTGTTGTTGCAAAGTGAAAGGGCACTTTTTGGAGAACAGCTGTACATTTCGGAAAAAAATCAGGGAAACAAATTATCAGGTGCATGAGAATGTGGTCTTCCAAACAACATTGACTTTCTGAGCATGCACAGCTGCAAAAGCCAAGAAAGGGTGAAGAACAAAAACTTAGCCCCTTCTATGAAGCTACATTCCATCGTTTTCGCTCCGTTCCAAGGCATAGCCTGCTATGCTCAGCTTGCGATCTTAGGCTGCTCCAGCTCCAGAGATGAGTGAAGTGCCAACACGGAGTTGGTAACGAGCGACTCTGACGAGGAGCCATTTCTTTGGTCTTATGACTTCACCTCTCCAGCAGTACCTTCCCTTGCACTGTAATCTCCGTGGGATCAGCTCGTCAGCTTTATGAGGTAGTAGGTTAATGGCAACATGCAAAATGGTAGACAAAGCCATAAACTTGGCTGGGTCCACCAAGTCTGAGAGTTGGATTTTATATATTGTTATTTGGGAGGGACCAGCTTCCCAAAACCAACGCATTATGCATCCCGGCCCGAAGCCATGGTCATCTACAACCTCCCCTCCCCCANCCCCCCCCCCCCCCCCCCCCCCCCCCCACTTCTTGTAAGCACATCCTTTACATGGGTCATTCCTGACGAGTTCCATCGATTTTTCTACTTCTAGTAGTGGCAGTTGACCTTACTTCAGTAGGAGAATTTCTTGGCGTTTAGTGCGATTATTGCGTGCGAAACTCAAGAATACGCTCCTTTCGTTTTTGAGGAATTCTTGGAAGAGAAAATTGCTCTAAAACACATGTGTACCCCTTGGAATTCCCAGCATGCTGTTCCAGCCCATTGGCCTATTCTTTTGAGTGAAAGGCTGAAATGAGCGCTTTTTCCTCCATCTTCTCTTCTAACAACGTTGTCCCTGCCCTAATTCCTTCCATTAAGCAAACCATTCTCAACGCCCTTTCATAATCATGAAATTGGAATGCGTGCCTCATTTTTCAAATTACGCCCTGCCCTTCGACGCCTAGAGATCATTACGATTGAGAGTTTATGCATCATCGGAGTTTATGCACACTTTTGTTGTGCCGTACTAACTCGTATGCTCTAATGAGAGAGGCACTTTGGTGGACTTAACCCTAGACCCTTAATCATAGCATAACTGACCATCTTTAGCTAGCTGTTCCCACTCGGCAACAAAGTGCATGACGCATCCGTGAAGGTCTGTTATAACGTCTCTACAATTCAGCTTTCATGCCAGCGAAATTTTAATCCAAAAAGCTCATTGGTATCGTAAAATGCTGTTGTTTTTGTTGATCTCATCGTGCTGGCTCCATTTTAATCCTATCGTCTGTCACTCTAAAGAAACGAATCTGCAAGAGGGAGGAGCGGCAGACGAAAAGTCTTTTTTACGTCGCGTTTCGACCTCAAAATTACTTTTTGGTAGGCTTTGAATTTCAAGCTCCATTAGCAGGTTCAAGGCTTATTCCGAGTTGTAGCGAATGTCTGTGATAGTCTTCCTGAGAGCAACATTGTTAGGCTCTTTTCTATGACTTGATGATGTGCTGTTTGTAGACAGTGGGACTTTGAAACATTCTTTACCTTTGCATGGTCCTGCATCCTCATAATCCTACAAAGCTCTGCACACATAGATATTCGAGCCTATCGAGGACCGACGACATACTTAGGTATCCCCTAGTTTTTGTAATAGTCACCCCTGTTGGTCTAATTTGAGTAATGGATGTATCGTCAGTCCTACGTGCCAGCACCCATTTATGCTAAAAATAGATGATACCGCTGATTGCATAGGGAAAAAACGACGCCGTCAAGCTCCTCCATGATGTCGACTCTCAGACGCGTTGCTCGAAGACAAGTTCATCTCTCTGTCTTAAAAACTCCACCTTCATGCCAGTAAGTTGTTTGGGCGAAACTCCGGACCGAAGGGCATTGTCTAGAATGCGAAATGCTAAAGTGCTTTCATACTTTAAAAGGCCTCTTGAGGGTTGTCGGTGGATTCCTTGATGTTCTTAACAAGCTGACAACAGTGAACAAAGTGTGATTCTGCTTCTAGAAAAAGTTCTCGGGAATGTTCTACCGCATATCATCTTGAAACCCCGAGAAGCACCAAGAGAATGATGGTGTTCGTCGGGAACATGATAACGTCACCTACTTCTCCATCCCCATCATGTTCCGATGAAGCGACAGCATTATCAAAATTGCCACTTTCGGTATGGGATTAACGGGACTTCTTCTGAATGCCTTCTCGCTCCTCTTTCATTTCCATTTTCTCCCAATTTAACCATTTGATATCAACGAGCACTTTAAGTACCCCTTGAGTCATGTCGTCAATAGCTTGACGATTGGAGGAATTCAAAATTCTTTCGATTGCTTTCCTTCACCATTTCAGATTGCTTTCCTTCACCATTTCATTATCAAGCGAGTCACACACATATGGGGGTGAAGATAACTGCGTAGAAAGTCAGAATTATTTTTGTCAGGTGGACCTTATCAAAGAAAATGTTTCGCGCTTTTCAGAAACGCATCGTCATCACCACTAGTTTACTGGTCCTTGAAATGATCAGGACAGTGTGGAGAAAAAGTTTTCATTAATGTTTTGGATTCATTGATCACTCCTAACAATGTGCCAAGCAAAGGGCTTGTTTCAGTGACAGCGGGAGCACATCACCTTTGCCATTTCTGCAACTGACGAATCAGAAATTCAACCTCCTCTCGTCGACTTTTATCTTGCATTAATGAGGAATATGTTACATTCATTCAAGCGTAATCTGTGATAATTCCAAGTAAGGAGGATGCTGATAGGTCTACTTGAGGAGCTGCACATAACATTTGAGCCAGTCCTCCGTTACTAACAATAAGTCAACGTGAAGCGTGAAGCTCTCCTTTTTTTGGTCGCTCCAACCCACACAGGGTGTCATGGTGATGTTCACATCGCCAGCCCACCGTAGTCACCTCTTAAGATCTTCGAAATCTTATTACTCCAGCCAAGTATGTATTTATTAAGGGTAAGGTTGAAATCTAAGTGCAAACCCTTCAGTGTTCAACAACTAACAGCATAGTGATTCAGTCGAGGGTAAAAACTGAAAGCATAGCACTAGCTGCTCTAGTTACGAGCTTACGAGCCTAGAGAAGAGCCGACAGCAAGTCGCCCAACATGATTCTAATGGTAAGTCTAGCAGATTGTCGTATTTATACAGGTCTGACCTGGTTCCTTTTAGCAGAACATTCCTGAGCCTCTTCATATCGAATGCCTATGTTTACATTGAGTATCGGTCTCTCTTCCTTTATAATTACTTTACTTAACTGTTATTTACAAAGTGGCTAAGGTGACTTGCTTCCTTATTGTTGAAGTAGTTCTCATCAATCTTCCTGTGAGTTGAAGTGAAGCCTAGTTGAAGTTGTAGGACACGTTCCTATCTGCCTCGCCTTCAGTATCATGCTTTTTTGCAATAAGATCGAAACTTCGTTCCCCAGGATGGCTTTCATCTCATGATTGAATCTACAAAAAAGAATCTATAAAAACGTAACAATATAAATGGCAGTGCTCTGATAAGGTCATGTGAACTTTTTAGATTCGCTAGTAGGAAATTAAATTTTCACGTAATATCTAAAAAGCTGCCCATGCTCTCCTCTCTCGAACAACGCTCTTTCCCCAAGGGAACCTTCAAGAGGCTCTTTAACGAAGTTCGCACTGATTGAGATATGTTAAAATGTTCTTTCCTGCTGTTTCCATTCAACACCCTTTTATTTCGAAAGTCAATTTGTCAAAGAATGGCACTGGAAAGGCAACGCGCGGTTGTGAACATTTTCTAATGGCCAGCATACGCATTCTCTTTTCTTCTGCTCCTCTCCTTCCAGGGCAGTCTTTGGTAAAGTTTCAGCTTTCTACGTGAAAGTATATTGCCATTAAAAGGCCACTGTTTGCTTATTTCGTCTAGAAGTGCAAATATTTACAAACAATTTCCATTACTTTTTAGGCATTTTCCATTTAGACGAGCCCCCAGGTCTCCTAGAGGCAGGGACTATTCAGCTGTAGCCTTCGTTTGAAGCAGCGCTTGATAAGCCTTTGTCTTCTTCCTACAATCCTTACAGAAATATGATGGTCGGGGGCCAAAGGCTCCGCATGCACTTGAGAGCGAAGTCGTTCGGGTCAAAAAGCCTTTGATTCCTCCGAACCCACTCATTTAGGATTAGCTCCATGAGCATAGTACCTTTAAGTATGGTTGTTTCAGGTCATTGCTTGGAATGAATACCTGATTTAGGGAATTTTTACGCCTCATAGCAATCTGTTCAGGATTCGGCAGGGTAGGGAACAACCTCTGAACCCAGTAGTTTAAAGTCATCAATCATCGTTCACAACCATCAAAAATCATATGTTCACAAGATCACAAAGGCATGGAACAAAGTTCGCATTGAGACCATGGTCCTTTAGATTTCGATTCTTTCTACCATATGCACTCTTTTTGCTTTTCTTCTCGATCACACTACAGTCTACGATACTCACCTTCCATTCCAGTAACAAAAATGTTTCAGATGGACACTGTTGTAGAACTTGAACAGAAGCGAGTATGCCGTGTGATGAGCGGGAAAAGGGGAAGATTTACGGTAAGGCAACTTTCCCCCTTGAAATATACTTATGTAAAATCATTGCAAACTGTAGAAAAAGTGTATCAATGCATACAGGTGGAAAATTTGAACCACGTGCGCTGTGCCCTGATCTCGGATAGCGAAAACCTTGGCCTTCTGGAAAAGGCCACAACGTCAGCCCATTATGACGAGGCATCGAAAACGGTACTGCTCATCTCTATACTTAAGTTTTTTGTGATCTTAGTACATTCAAATATGTACGGACATGAGACCACAACAAGAGAATGACCATTTTGGATTGAGATATATGCACATGCAGTGGCGCTCAAAAGTCTTCGGCCAAACGCTTTTACGCTTTTTCATTCATAACCTTTTTCTTAGTGGAGCAAATTGCGCGAAATTTTGACATGTTTATCTAAAGCATATTTCACACTACATAACGACTGCAAAGCAGCAATATCTACGTGACTAACGAGTAGTGTTCAATACGGTAGCACATTGCGCTAAAAGCAAAGTTAGTAACGTCTGCAGTTATTCGCACCTTATGTGCGTTCTTCTTCCCTACTGGGTTAGGCATTAGCGCTCGTACACTTAAGACATGGCAAAAAGGAAAGAAATCCTAGAAGGACCAATGTTTGTATTTCTGGTTGATTTTGGGTTCAAGCTCTTTGGGATATCTGAAACATGGTCAGATTGCAGGTTAATAGTGGTAGATATTCACAATACACCCGTGCTGCACGTATCGAAATTTCGCATGATTAGATCCAGTAGGAAAGGAGTACGACACGACTGAAAAGTGCGGCTGAAGAAGCCGAAGACTTGAGCGCTACTGTACATTGATTCCGTTCTTATGCCGGGGTAAGCGTTGTAGCGGCACCAAAAAATCGAGCCTACTCTTATTTCAGTACCCAATGTGTTCCCAAATTTGCTTTAAAAACGTTTGGTCTGGCTTTTAGTAGATAACAAGAACCAGTAACCTTAGTATCAACCTCGTGAAATCCGTATGATACGGAAAATTCGGTTATCCTTGTCAAATACTCTCAATGATTGATGCTAATGAAGTCTTCAGAAAACCATTCATGGCCTTATCGTCGTCCTTGGTTTATTTTCTTCTGCTCCCTCTGCTCTGAGCAATCTACTGTAGACTGACCCATTGTATCCACCAGTAAAATCAAGGTACAAACACCTACTATGTGGCAACTGTACCGCCTAGCCCGTGGGCGTCATTGTTGTTTACATATGGAGTTGGAAACTGGTACCATATTAATTAGACTCGTTGTTCTTGGTAACAATAATATCACTCAGAAGTCTATGCATTACCAATGATGTTTACATCGTTCCCATATGCGCGGGCCCATTCGAAATCAGCCCGAGGAAAATGGTGATTTTTCTGAAAGAGGGAGAATTCAGTAGTCAGTAGCTTAGTAGTCCTGAAGTCGATAGCAATCTCTGTATAGCACCTACATCATCTACACTCTTTGGTAACAAAACCTCTGTACAGGTGTCTGGCCAAAGCATAGACATCAGCCTAAGAGATGGGAAGTATGGGAAGAAGAAAGGATCGCAGTACTTAGCCGACCTTAATTGAATTGATTTCAGATGATGGCCAGATTAACGTTGAACATGAAAGAGACGCAGAAGAAGAATTCCGAGGCCAACTATTTGATGGACGTTGTCGAGGTACTCATATCATAATTCAACAAATCACAGTGACCAGGGAAGGATTTCATTATAAAAACGCCCATCCTTACTGAGAATCATACCACAGAAAGCATAACAATGGAACCTGGACTGGGTTGGTGGTGAACGAAATTTTGGTGGTTCTTTCTTCACATCTCTCAACAAAGTGATGAATGGATAGAAGAGTGTCTGCGAAACGATTACCAAGAGGCGTCAGAAGCAGGATTTGCAAAATTGGGACAGAAATATGGGTCCGTAGTCACGTCCTTGCTCTGATTAATCTCACAACTTTTGTTTACACTCCAGTCTAACTTTTACAGAATTACCGATCGATTCCTTTGTTTTTTCAATCAATTTGAGTTTCCTGCTCCTAACTCACTATCTTAAATCCCTTCTACACTGAACATTGTCGCAAACTGGGGATGCAGGGTTCTCAACAAAAAGGCTCTAGGAAAACCACAAAAATTCCAACCATTTGGCTGTTATGTGGTGAATAAAACTCCATCCCACCTAAGTTCATTTAATCGCTCTGCGAATAAGGAAAACAGCTCCATGACCACAGGATAAAGATTCACCAATGGCAAGTTCCCTACTGCAATTATACACTCCACACGAGATCCTTCCTTGGCCTTCGAGTTTCCCTTTTTATTCGAGAAACTTGTTTGAGCTGACCTCCGATCTCAGGTTTTTTAGACATACGTCGACGAATGTGATTGCATAAACTTCAACGACACCTTTAATTCCCCTCATGTAATAATATTCGCGCTGAGCACCGATGACAAATCGCAGGCTTTGAAAAGGATAGAATTCGTCAGAAGAAAGGTACTAGCTAGACGAAGTCTCATCTTCTCTAAACGAAAATTATCATCCTACTTCAGATAGATTCACAGGAATGGATTTGTCCAGTGATTCTGCTTGCCTACCGCTCTCCCGACCGCGGATCCACTCCATACGACGTCATGAAACAGTTAAAGGAGTTATCAAGGAATTCGAAAGTTTTTCGCTGCATGGAATCAACTGGATTAGGAAAGGTACGTCTCCATGGACGCCTCGGCAATAGCACAAGAAATTTCTGATTACTCGAAGGCGTAGAATTTTGTTCCCCCAAAGAAACTTCGACAAATCAGTCCTTTTCCTGAAAGCCTTGTTGGTTGGGTGGTTGGGTGAAATCAGGTTTTGGCCTTTAAAGGCACCGTTCACGACAAAAAAGTTATTGAGTTCTTACCTTATTAATACTCAGCGGCCCCCATGGGTTGTAGAAGGGTCCTCCTCACTCCCGCAATTTCGACGTTCAGGGCATAATGGCGGGCCCGTTGTTGTCGTAATTCGCATCTCCGCCCCTCGACCGATGTCACGTTAGACGAGTGTCAAGAGGACACAGTGTCATGTAATCGCGTCCGGACCCATCCTGAACTGCAAATTGGCCAATTTGCCGTCTCTGGCAACTTGCCATTTTGCCCGAGCACTCTCTAACCGACGTTCTTTCAACGTGAAACTCGTCCAACCCCCTTTCCAGCTCTTTTTTTTGGCCCTTTGTAATTCTTTGTTCATCGTAATTTGCGCTTTTTTCGTTGTTATCGCTTTATTCTAGAGTAGTTCTATCGATTTCCCGTCAAAAAAGGGTACCCTAACTTTTTTGTGAATGGTGCCTTTAAAGTAGTAGGGACACACCACATCATTGAATAACTTGGATGATCCTTTTGTATCCGTTCAGAGCCTACTACGGCACTGCTTTGCGGTTGCTCTGATGGCTGCACGTCCTTTTCTGGCTACAACCAGAGCAGAAAACGACGTCTGCATTGACGATGGAATGGAAAAGCGACGTGAAAAATTGCCTCGGAAACCGAACATGGAAGAGAAAATTCCTAGTATCGACATTTTGCAGAATAAGTCTCCTTTCAAAAAGTCATGTAGAATTCAATAATATCCTCTCCTTCTGTAGATACTACTGCCAATTGTGTCCTTGGTCGGGTACTTAAAAGTACAGTTGGCGATTGAAATGAATTGAACTTCTTATTGGTAAAAACAGTTTATCCCTGAGGAGGTACCTGAGCGAAATGTGGCTAGGATAAGGTGCAGTACGGGCTCGAAAACCGGTCCCTACTGACACTCAATACTTCTAAGAAGGTACGCGCACCGTCGCCTTGCGGGATTTATACTAATCAAGAAATTAATTGCAGCCAGGTCGTACACGATGACGGCTAAACACATGCTCTCTAACGACGAAATCTCGTCCAGTTACTCTCCTTCCAAGCTTAGAGATGATTCCTGCAAAAAAGCTTTTCTCTTCAAGATTTTAGCGAACTTTCTCGTTTTCTTCTCCACTCAGGTATCTATCTGCATTGACACTTTCGCACCGTAACTCAATAAAGGTATACGAAGTTATCGCGGACTGTGCCATTAAAGGCACGTTCACGATAATTCTAAGGATTCTAGCGTAAGTGTAATAGTGGAAATTAGGGTGCAGAATAGTGTAAAAATGGCGAAGAAAGCGCGAAAATCGGCATATATTAGAATTTCAATGCCTCAAAAAAGTACTGAGAAAGGTGGTACGAGATTGTGTCTGTAATCGTCTGGGTATCTCCCACATAAGCGCACTATTCGTCGGCGTCCTAACATTTCATTACGAAAGGCAAGAATGCCCAATTAATACGGCCAGTTTTGGGTGTGTTCGCTCAGCCAAGCCGATTTTAGAGCCCCTATACGGCCCTGTAGAGATCATTTTTCGACCCAGTGTTGACCCACGTGCTATTCTCGGACACTTGTGAACCACACGCTCATCCAAGGGAGAATGTCGGAAACCATTTTTATCGTGAACTGTGCTTTTGAGGTGTGTCCACATTATCCATAAACATTATCCTTCATGCCTCAGAAATTGTTACATTGCATTCTTGATCGAAAATAAATTTTGTGCTCGTTGCCTGTTTAAATCCTTCTGCTCAGAAACATTCAAACAAATAATAAAACGGATCTCATGCAATATATGTCTGCAAGAAATTCGGACATGGATGAGTATTTCCATAAATATTAAACATAATAAGTATAATAAATTTACAACACAGCAGCTAATAGCTCTTATGATTGGATAAAATAAATTTCTCATGTCAGAAATGTTCATAACCAACGATCCTAGCCATATGTCTGTTGTAACGGAGGTTTTCTACATATCTAAGAGCCGCATTCCTTGCTATCGACTGTAGGGACGGAACTCCGCTGAAAAAGCCATATGTTTTGAAACAGGTTCGCAACCAACTCAAAGTGGAGAATACTGTAGTTTGGTGGTAATGGGTACGAGATGGCCATGCAATATGGGTCTGCCCAGGGAGAGCGTGTAAGGAGAAATGTGATAGCTAAAAAAATGCAGACTTCCACCTTGGACATGAGAGGAGCGAAACTGTATAATACCGAACTAAAAATTCGCCCACAAACCCACTCCGTCACCTTCTCGATATTTCTTCGAAACCATCTGCAGAAAGTAACCTTTTGATCGGTTTTGTGACCTATTCGAACAAACTCTTCATTGCCAACAATAGCAGCTCATACACTTCATTTTTGACTAATAATTACCTTACCCAGTGTACATGAAGTAGGTTGTAAGAGTTCTCTGTATGACCAAACACCCTGGATAAACTTCAAAGTCAACCAGTTCCAGTTAAAGATAGACGTTCCGAAACGGCATCACCACCCGAAACAGGAGAGGGGGAGAAGTCTCGAACGATTTCTGAATCCTATAAACTACAGAGTGCTCCAGTGATTTGCTGCCTAAGCCCAACGCATGCGGCCCTCATATTAAGTAAAATCAAAAATTAAGATGAACGGGTCAATCAGCCGATTCCATAGTGTTGAGAAACCCTGAAGTATATCTGCACAAGGGACTATGAAATAGGGTGATGATCTGTAAATGAGTTCAATAATTCAATTTGTCACTGAAGTACCGGGAATGTTTCGGATTCTTAGCCACTGTAAAAGTAAACTACCTAAACACTGCTTTAACTTCCTTCAAATCGACCCTGAATAGCCACATGCAACTGCTGAGGGACTATCTGCTTACCCTCGCGACGAGCCACTGTTCCCCATAAAAGTAAAACCTGAAATTTGCAACCTACCAACGACTCAATACAGCGAATGAGACGCTATCCTCGTGAAAGTGACCCTCGAGATGTGTCTCAATGTTGAGTACCAAAGCTTTGCCGTCGTCACGTACATCAATTAAGACCATGGTGTCCGCAATTCCAGATCCTATCTCGTGCCACCTAGACAGCAGTGTCTTGTTTCAGTGAAATTACGAGTTGCAGCTGGCTTTGAGCGATCTCTAATTAAGCACAACTGATCAAATCAAAGAAATCACCTGTGGTCTTCTTTCAAATACACCTTCTTCGAATTCTCTAAAAGCTTCTCCGTTGTCATCCACACTCTGTCATTTCTGTGAATTACACGCACGAAACGTACAGGGTGATTGGGGTCATCAAAAAACGATTTCAGTCGCTCATCGGATATTGTTATCCAAGAGACCTTAAAAGAGTCATCGACCCGCATGAGAATTATGCTGAACGACCATGTGAACCAGAATTCACTTCACTTGTGTCGAGATCCACCGATACGATCATACCGGAGAACTCATCGTCTTCAAATTCGTCTGCGACCGAGTGGAAGCAGTACAGCATGCGGCCTTCCTGCCACGGTTCACTACGAGACCAAGAACCGCTATCGCATTCCACATCTGGAGGCAAAAAGATAAAACACAGTATCACCTCCATAAAGCCATTTCACTTGGGCGCGCACTTCCTCTAGAGAAACGAAAGGTTCCCGCTATACATGCTTGATCTCCCCTCAGATCTGTGAGAGTTTCCAGAGTTTCCCAAACAGTATGAAGGTGAATTGGGTTCCGTCAAAAACCAAATTTTCTTCAATGACTCGGTATCTTTGCGAGATTTCTGTATAGCATACTGCGGCGAAATGACAGCAGTCAAGAAAAACATCAAGTCAGATTACTCGGGTTATTAACCAAACTGGCGCTCTTTTCCAAGGCGCTTGCAAAACCTTCAACAATTCTCAAGTCCGTAGTGAAAGTAATAATTTTAGGAGGCGTATGAGGCCGAACAGCTTACGAAACTAGGAATGAATGGTCCATAAATTTGTAGCCCTCCAACTCCATTAACTAAATAGTTTCGAACTACATAGGGAAGGGGAACCTAACGCAACTCGATTCTGAATACGCCTTTCCTTGAAGTAGACTTTTTTAGCCATTCCTCTTTTCATTCTTCCACTCTGATTTTTGCACTTGATGGATTAGTCTCCGAATCCACTCAAGTTCGAGATTTTGAGCCGTATAACTCACCTGTCTTCTTAATGTTACATTTTGAATCCATCTCAATGACGCTGATGCCATTTTCGAAAGGGATCACCATAGTCACCCCGTCATTATTTCTGAAACAGGAGTAGCTTTTAAGTGTTTCAGTTCCAGTTGAGAAAAACATACCTGGTACTGAATCCTACACTACCTCTGCGGTTTCCGTAATTATTCGTCGCCTTTACCATAGAGAGGCTCGCCTCGCCAATGTCCAATTTTCTGCTTTCATGGTCAAGCGTAGTGGAGTGAAACTAAAGGGAATACATCACCATCCGGAATAACGATATAACGTGAGAACTATAAAAAAGATGAATTCGTTACAGAAATATCATCTCCATCATCTATCACAGCAATCCCCCGATTTTCTGAAGTTTCGTAGAATTCCACTAAATCTGCCGTCGAAGAACATCGGTAGTAACTGAAAAGAAGTCAGTGGTTGAAGATGCCAAATGCTCTCATTTTCAGACCATGCTACTAGAAGTTATGTCACTGGTGCAACAAAGGGAAGCGTCAATCCGTTAGTGCCTTCCCAGTCTAGGAACGGATCCCGAACTGGGCAGGTACTAACGACTGGCCTAACGATTTTTCTGAAACTAATCATCAATACATTCGACACTCATTCGGACTGGATACCTCCAAGATGAATCAGTTTGTCTCACTGTCAGTCTCAGGTACGTTCATTTCAACTAGAATTAAAATGGTTCAAAAAATAATCGTGTTGCATGAATAATGACGGGTTGACCATGTTGAACCCTTTGGAAAATGGCATCAGCGCCTTGATATGGATTTAATGCATAACATTAAGAAGACAGGTGAGCTACATGGCTCTGAATTTTAATGTGAAGCTCATTCAATTATTATTCCGTCAATAAGCATGTCCATCACTGCATGATTTCCCACGTTGAAAACATTGAAAGAAAAGAATGAAAAGGGAAGGGTCAAGAGAGAAGGTTCCAGCGAATGTGGAAATGAGAGCTGTAAGAAAATCTGTTTGTGGAAGGGTAGCCATGCGAAACTCAGGACTGACTGAGTAGATAATTTCCGCAGCCCAAAATAAAAGCCTACCAGTGTGTTTTTGTAATTCAACGTGTAAGCAGATATTTCAGCGCGTTTCGAAGGAACCAGGTTACAATCAAACACTTTGTTTACTTCATCGATAGGTAATCAAGTTCGTGATAGGTCCTCTTACTTACCAGGAAGTTCCGCTCCATAAGTCGTAAACGAGAAATTTATTTTGTAGAACAAAAGGTGAGAAGCACTTCTGCTTTTCAACAATACAGTACACATATCTGTTTCCTGACGACATAAACCTCCATGTTAGGTTGGTTGCGCCTGAACGCTAGATATTAGAAAAGCATTGAGTGAAGGTCACCATTACAATAAATAATTACCTCGAAATGGAAGCTCGTCCAAGTTAACAGGAAAATGAGGATAAATATGCTGCATCCACATATTCAACAGAAATATATGAGAGGTTCAGAAGGCCACAGTCAATTCAATTGCTACACATTAATCGATGACCTCAGCAGGCTCTCAGAATCGGCAGGGCACATTTCCCTGTTATCTGGGACATCTAGATCCTGAGGGTATTGCGTATGCAGTTGATGCCAGTGGAGGAACACATTTCCCGACTGAAAAAATCAATGTTAATGAATGTTTAGCTTAAAAGAAGCATAAGGGACCTCAAAGCATAAGACTTCATCTGATCATCTTAGAGCAATGAGTCTAAACACTAGCTATAGAATCGAGAAAGGGTAGCAAAGACATATTTATCGAACAGTCTGAGTTCGAAGTAACTTCTTTCCGATCAGCAATGTATCAATCAAAGGAAATGGTGATGAACTGTGGATTTTAAAACAGTGGAGCAAAAAAAAATAGAACAATTCTTACAGCTCGAGCTTCTAATTCACAGCGAGGAAGTTTTTGAGGCCTGCGCTTAGCCTCGACGCAAAACTTTTTTGCAGACACTGCACCTACTTCTCAAAGCACTATTAATAACTCAATAACGAAATCATTGGAATGAATCATTTTCCAATCTGCATTGGCAATTGGTTATGTTACTCCTTTTGTTTTTAAAGAGGTTCCACAATGTTAAGGTCAAGGAAATCGGTACTCCCATGGAAAATGTTGCTGTGCAAATGTTGCTGATCCGCTGATAAGCCGCGGACTTCCTGGATCGCCGTATCAATTACAAGTAAATTGTCTGCTGTTGTCGCTCCATCAACTTCGAAGACCTCGTCTGACAGAGGCGTCGTTAGGTGAGCATTTTCTCAATTGCTTTTTTTGAATTTGTCGTTGTCCTCTCCGAAAAGGTACATGCTATTTGTTTTCATGGTGTTCGAACATTTCCCGAAGTGCTGAGGAAAGCTGTGATTTACGATGACAGATCAAGGATGAGTGTTGTCCAGGAAAAATCAAGGCAAAACAATATAGCCATTAAAACGAACACTATGCTCTCTTAACATCATGTACATATCAATATCAGTGAAAGTGACAAAAGGTGGAAGTTGACGAAAACGCTGATTAATGTGCTAGCTACTTAGCTATAACTAAAAATTAAAGGCTTTCAAGTGTAAAGAATGGGGAGACCTAAAATAACAGAGGGCATGTGAGTGCATATAAGAAGGTGAATCAAGGCCTACGGTATGTGCGAGTGACATTTGCAAGTGCATTCGCTCCCACTTAGGTTCTCCTCTTCAGCTTTTGTTTTCCGATGGAGATTATTCTGTCAAATCCTCTGAAGGTCCGACTCTAGGCTCTTCAGTTATCTGGTTCCCTCAAGCTCTCGTCTGGCCACGAACGATGTAACTTTCCGAAGGACTTCTCCAAAAACTGCGACTTCCCCATCTTGACACTTCTCCGGATGCGTGTTCGTCTGTCCTCCTCGTCAGGGATCCCTGAGACTGTCCCTTGTACCCTACATTTTTACGTCTCGTTACTCAATGCACTGCTTGCTACTGGGTGTGTGTCAAGTCGTGCGTCCGAGGGTGCGCGCGGCAAATTGCGCGGCGAAGTTTGTGACGAATTTAGACGACTCCGGCGCCTATCCTCGGGGCCCAAATCCGAAGTAGGGTAGATTAGTAAGGTCAGCTGATCCTACTATTCTACTCAAATAATAGGCGACAAAGTCGTCGGAATAGGTATGAATTTCGCCGCGCAATTTGCCGCGCTTCCCCTCGGACGCACGACTTGACCGTCCCCCCTTGCTACTAGGTCCGCTCCAGCATTGCCTACGTTGCATGGGTAAATGGATTATTGGTTGGGTTTTATTGCACTATGGATCGGCGATGGCCACAGGCCAGGATTTTAGATACAAATGATCCATATGGGCCGGATCATAACTGATAGTGGCGAGTGTTTTCTCCTAGTGAGCCGCAATCCCCTGAGTAGATGATAAAGTCATCGTAGTAGTAGTAGGCGTCTCTCTCCACGAATAGATGACCAGTTCAAGCTTCAGGGGGGCTGCCGTGTTTGTGGGTGTCACGGAAGTGGATTGCGGGAGAATTTTTGAGCCTACCTCTGAAAACCTTCACCCCCTCCCCCTCGCTCTGTACCCTAACCTTTACCGAACCATTAGTTCGTGATTTTGGTGGTCTCGCTATGAAGGTATCTGGGACAGTTATATTAAAAGCTTTCATTTTGCGGGGCACACAGGACAGCTTGGTGGAACTGGGAAACGAACCTTTGCGTATTAAAAAAATAACTACATGCCAACAAGGGGCATTCTTACCGACCCAAAGTGTTATCTCTATTTTTATGATCACTAATTCACGGATTGTATCTAGCAAATATTCGAAGTAAACTTTTTGAATCTATTGCATCAATTCGGACATTTCTTCTTCACTAAGTGACGCGATCTATGTCATGCTACTTTAAATTCTCCACTTGCTGTCCCCATATGTTCTCTAGTCCCACTCACACCTTTAAGCTACCATCTTTCTGAAATCTTGTGCAAGTATCTCACAACAGGACAACCTCTCCCGCTTTCCAATGTGAAATTCACCACATCTTCATCCTCATCTGCAAACAACACCATTTTCCTATTCCTCTTCCCTCTTAGAACTCTATTCCTTTGTCTATAACGTTCGAATTTTGAATCTAAATAGACATTTTCTCAACTTTTCCTTCGCACTTCATGGATATCATCCAGATGTCCCCACAGTCTCGCCGACGCTTTCTCAACCCATAGTTTCAAAAATCGCAGCGCAGGCGCACTTAAAATATCGAGGGAGTAGTGAAGAAGACAAAGAACGTCCTGCTCTGCGCTCACTTTTTCGACAGTGCCGTCCTGCCTTGACGTATGCCTCAGAAGATTGAACACCACGCAAGTAGGGTGAATGTCATCACCCGCGCTATGGAGAGGACTATGCTAGGAATTTTTCTCTTCAAAGGCAAGTGCAGAAGGGAGTCCGGAATTCCTAGCTCCGCCTAAAAACGAAGATCAGGGATGCAGTCGCTTACGCCAAGAAATCGAAGATCAGGTGGGCCGGACACGTAATGCGATACAGTGATGACGGTGGAGTAGGGCGTTTACTTACTGGACCCCTGGGGACATCAAACGAACATGAGGACGGCCGTCAGCGTGGTGGTCAGACTCATAAAAGTAATTCCAGGATAAATACCCACCACCATCCATCCAACATCATTTCTGTTCTTCACATACCAGTCATACTCTATCGCCTACAACTAAATACTTGTCCTGCAGCAAATTCGCAAACAAGCCAATCCAGGAATCCTTCTTTAACTCCGTCGTAGTCAAGTCGTCGTAGTCAACCAGGAGTATTCCCTTTGCCCTTTAAGCGGAGGCATCAGTCGGAACTTCGCTCTCACTAGAGTACGGAAGGTAGACCCTCGCAACCGCAACAGCTCAAGACCGACACCGTGGTTGCATTTTCAGATGGAGTAGCCAGCAACGCAGTTGATGAAATGATGAAGGAATGATTCCTGCTTACTGATTGCAAGCAAGGACTTGCAGAGTCGGCCCGCGAGTTTGCGGAAACGCATTATACAGCTCGCCGAAAAAAAGGTAATCGGCCTAAGTCTTCACATAACGGAAAACTAATCGATGAATATTTCGATGATCTGACATCAGCCCTACATTTTCATGTAGAAACAACTGGCCCATCACCTTTGAGGATGCTATAGTGATAGAGATAACTTTTGGATCTCTTTGAGCGGATGCCGGAGATGCCGGAAAGACAATCACTATATTCCCGCCAGGGCAACTTTTCTACCGTTGTGAATACGACGTGCACGGGCGCATTACCGCAGCATTATCATTCAAGTGAACGCAATTTCCAATTTCGACATGCGACGATCTCTAAATTCTTAACCTAGAGGCGTCTTCAACCGCGAAGCCACAAAACACGCACCCAGTTCTGACGTGACATGTTTTCTGTGTGGAAGAGGTCAACATTCAGACATTTACTGTCACCATCCAACTTAGAACTCCTAGAAGCTCCAAAACTTGGCTTTCTATGAATCTCGGCATAGTTGCTCTATTACTGAGTTATTTACTTGAGCTCTTCACAAGGTTTGTACACAGGCTTTATAAGGCTGACATTTCGGCGGAGTCGCCTTCTTCAGAACCTGGAAGGATAACGACAATTTGTGACCATCTGGCCAAACGTTTCCACTGCCCCACTGAATTTTGAGACCCCAGGGCACGGAGGTGACTGAACGGAGAACCACTTACCTTAGCTTTGTGGATTCTCCGAAAGCACCCAGTAAACCATGGTACCAATGTGGATTCTCCGAAACCACCCAGTAAACCATGGTACCAATCGATCAGGTCAGCTGGATAGGTGTCCATTCAAAGTCTCTGTGAAAAGGCCAACTTCAAATAAGGATGCAGCTTCCGTGCGATTAAGAGGCATTCTTTCCCACGATTCATTTTCGGAGCGTTGACCTGTATCTGAGATACCTCGAGGATTGTACGCGCGCATAATTACGACATCTGTGTCACGACCTCCATGGTGACATGAAAAACGCCTCCGTTGTGCGCTTAGGTGACTCCTTAAGGCAGAAACTCGTTCAGTCGCTTCATACCATTTAGGCTCTGTAGTGGCATTGGCTTTTCTCCATTATACTAATCATCACAATCATTGCAAGTAATCTCACAGGCCACTCAGATACGGCGCAATCATCCTCCTTGACAGCTGGACAATGCGAACAGATTGACATTTTACATGGGCGATCGTATAGCATATTCCAAACCAGGTGCTTCTTTAGATGTAAAGGGTGGTACGTTCACAATAGCAAGCGCCTTTTCCAAGCCCAATTACTTTAGATATTCTTCAGCATAGAACGCCCCAAAATTATGGGCGCCTATTCATTGCGATGAATTTAAACCTTCTAAGTTGAGAATTACAACGAAATCTATATGCACGTTGGCTTACATCATGTACAGTGGCATGCAACAATCACATCAAGAAATAGCCTCCATTAGCAGGGATAGAGACTCAAACTTTGCCCTCCTCATGACTTCAAACTTCGATTGCAACCCTCCCCNGCTCTTCGTGCAGGAGCAGCGACCTGCTCGTGGGACCCTGGTTGTTTCAGGGAGTGGGGTCGGATCAGTGTTTCAGTACGCCATTATAGAAGGCACGCCCTCCCCAATTCTCACAGCGGTACCGACAAAACCGTTACACTGTCGCCAGTGACTCTCACTAAAAACCAGCTCGGTGTTCCTGGGACGACTTTTTTTATGAGAGATTGCACGTTCGATGTGTTCATCCGAAACGCGATCGTTTTATTTGTTGAGGAATGGTTTATCGTAAAAAAAAATCCATCGAGTTAACAATTTTCTGAATTTTTCAACCCCACAATGTCTACCGAGGGGAAATAATGTGGCATTTCTATATGTATATGATAGGAAAAGCAATGAAGCTTCTGCTCGACAATCCGCCCGATTGATAACTTTGATAGGATGTGCTCCGTTACACCCTTTCGATGGGTCACCCATGATTACCATCGACGCGCAAGCGGATTATTTTAAAAGTCCTGTTTTTGATAACGCTGGCCGTCTTATCCCTTACGGGTTTGTCTTCCACTGATTCTGCTTTTCTGTATCGTTTGATAGCCTTCCGTCTGGCCTTTATTGGAATGCCAAGGAATCTTACTATTACACTTCTTACTTATTTTAGTCAATCTTCAGCTGCCACCATGCAAACGATTGCAGGTCGCATTGAATTGGCCTCCACCATCTTGATGGCATAATGAGTCTTACCTTGGTATCTATGCAAGTTGCAAGAAAACCTACTTGTGCAACTAATTGACAACGAATGGAGTCGAATTAATTAATCATGTCTACCCCGAAAGCTCTTGAATGTTAGCATCCATATTTTGAGGCACCTCGTAGTGGCACCGATCTCATCAGAGATAAATGGTAGTACAATAGGAATCTTTCATTAATCGCGGTACTACAAAGTCTAGGGATCACGATGCCAGAAGAAGCTATTCGTGTAGTCAACAAATTGAGGTGGCCATTCACTCGTGCAATATCGCGTGCTACATTAATTAACCCTTCTAGCTCATCCTTTCCGGTGCAAACCTTAACAGTGCGGAACATACTCCTAACGACCGCATATGTAATGCAAAAAGGATGACCTGAGTGATAATGGACCATGATATTGGCATTGCTGTATCACTTCGTAGCAGTCATATCGTCCTGTAACCTCACTTGAACTTCTAAAAAATAAAACAAGTTTCTAGTCGGTTCTTCTACTTTTGGCGGCGTGATTCCCAGACACGGTAGCACCTCAACTGATGGAAAGATCCCTTTTGTACTACCTTCTATCTAGGATAAGGGCAGTGCCACAACAGGGTGACCCAAAATTATAGATGCCAAAGTTTAGGAACTTTTGAGGGAGCCACGATTTATTACTTTGACTTCAATTGTTATCATTTAGTTGCTCAAGTAGGGTTTTGCAGTTAGCACAGTCACCAAGGTAGGGCTTCTCATATCTTCAAGATGGCAAAGGCTAATTCAGTGTCACATTTGTAATCGTTCGCATGAGTCGAATGCGTAGCGCACCACTCGAAGGGGATTGATTAACGCCCCAAAACTCTAAGTCTCCAGACGCTTTCTGTGTAAATTTATTTAGTATATATATATATATATATATATATACGACGCTTCTGCTTGTGCTGGTCCGATGGTGCTTCGAACTACTCCAGTCCGGGATTATCACTCATTGTCACACGCATTTTCTCCAGGTACGAGAAGATCTGGCGGCCATTGAGTGGGGTTCTGCCTGTCCGTTCCATTTTATATTTATGGAGCACTTTCCAGGACTTCCGTGTAGTGGTCTCTGACTAGGGCCTCTAATCCTCGATTCGGTGTGGTCATGAACCGTACAAACTCCGCGCGCACTCATCCCATGGCAGTCCATTACTGCTGGTTGCTATCTTCGTACGGGCTCGGGAAGAACAGTAGTGTCCCACCCGGCTGTAGATGTTTTTCCACGGCAATTAGCAATTGTCTCATCGATTTTCCAGACAGCATCGGGCCACACTACGTTTATGGCAGTAACTATATTGACTTTCAGCTTTTGAGCTAGGAACTCTAAATTTAGATACAAAGACGTACACGGTCGGTGCGTCACCGTAGTCGATTTCCATGTGAACTCTCACGAATCCTGCTGGCAACGCCTGAAATACTAGCTGACTGACAGCCGCGTGGCATCTCCCACATCATATTCAACGGGCCACGGAAAAAAACGGCGAATGGAAGAATCTCATGCCCTTGGCAACGTCGATGGCTTCCGCATAGGCTTCCGTATGTGACAACGGCGTCGATGTGCCTCCATGGCTAGGGCTTGCCCGTACGGCTACATGAACTGAGACTTCTTCATGCGCAGCTCCTCTTCTTTACGTTCGTCTACCCAACACTCCTGCTCCGAGATGGAAGCAACGTTGGCGAGCTGAAACATGTCTGCCACCCATTTTGATCTAGCCATTAGGTGGTTCAAGGTCGGATTTGATCTAACACCCGCAGTCGCACTTACGTCTCAGATTAGGCGAATGGTCCATCGTAATCAGCGTCCTGAAACAAGTTACTTTTTCGGAACCGTCAGAAAGGTCGGTTTCTTGGCGGGGTCTCCCCCTTTTTCTGCGGGTCGTTGCTCTTCTACGGAGCTCGTTCGAGACTCCTACTGGCAACTTTACCAGCATGCCAAAAATCATGGACAGGGTCTCTGCCCTCCCACCTCCCCCCATCTACCCATCTCACAAGGGCGCTGCTCTCGCTCGTGTCTAACACACGGTATGGCCCTTCCCACGGGTTGACCAGTTTAGGGTTTTGGAATAACTGTTTCTCGTGCGAAACATTCATGTACACTTTATCCCCGATTTTCGGTAGTTTGGAACATCTGCGTTTGTCCCTATCATGTGTCATCTTCATCTTGCGACATATTTTATTGCTCTCCTATCGCGCGTGCTCGTGCTCAATGTGGTGGTCGCTGTGACTGCCTGCGTGTAGCTTTCAATGTCTATTGCTGAGTTCTTGGCTTGAGTGTTCCACGTAATATAATTATCAAATCCGTGTAGCAAGAAGAACGTCGATGCTCAGTAGACTCATGGACTGTCGTATAATTAGCAAATATGCAAAATGGGAGTATCTCATCCCACTCAGCGAGTAGAGCAACCTTTTTCTCAACGTTTATATGACTGGTTGATTAAATCTTCCAGTCAAATTATAATACTTGCTTGGGATTTTAGCTCTTTGTGTACTCCTGGTCGATGCCTAGGAGCGACTTGAGCTTGTGCAAAAGTTAACTGTCAAACTCGCCTCCCTGATCTGATAGGATTGGCTGACTTGCTCCCTTAGCGACCCACCTTTCAAAAAACACTCTAGCCACTTCCCTCAGCTGTTTTTGAAGGTATGGCGTATGTCCTAATTAACTTTGAGAAGTGATCTGTTATGCTAAGTGTGTAGCGGTTCCGGTTAGTCGTTAACCCCGTTTCTAAGATATCGACTCCTATCGTATGGCTTCGATGTAACGATGAGTTTCAACCCTGGTGTCATAAGGTGGCGATGATTTGTGTCCAGGCACCTCTGACACCAAACCTTCGTGTAATATCCTGCTTCATGGTCTCCCAGAACAACTCTTTTGACTATTGTATCTTCCTAGCACAGAAGTGTTACAGCTAGTAAACCTGAGTGTGCTTTCCCAAGAACTGCCTTCCTCTTAGACGCTGGGACAACCTTTCGGACAGAACAGCTGTTCAGTAGTGCAAGATATGCTCGATCTCTGCCATTTTTAGCTTTTAAGACAGTTTTGGGATTGCGATATCTTAGTTTAGATCTCCACTCTCCAGGCTCGCTATGATCTCAACATGAGTGGGGTCCTGTCGAAGTCTTGTCGCCCACTCGGGCTGCTCGAAAGCCGCAGCTACGATGAGTCCATTAGTGATATAATACAATTTTTCTACTTCTTCTGAAGGAATAGCTCTGCAGCTCAAGGCATCTGCTACGTGATCCGCAGCCCCTTTTAGGTAGATTGTTTTCAGGTTATACTTCTGGAGTTCGAGAGCCAATCTGACTACTCTGGCTAACACATTAGTGTTAAAAGTGCCGTTAAGGGTTAATAGGCGGAGTACACTCTAACTGCGAGTCCGTACACAAATATATGGAACTTGCCTTAAGCGAAAACGGCCGCCAATGCTTCCAAATCAGTCTCGCGATTATTCCTTCCACATCCTGAAAGACCTTTTGAAGCAAAGAACACCGCATGAGGAGTCCATCCTCTCCATCTTGACTTAGGACAGCGCCTGAACCCTGCGTGCTTGCGTAGGTGTAGATCTCGAACGGTCTTTTACCGCTCTTTGCCCCCTCGATATCCGGCTGTGCCAGTACAGGCGCGCGCACTATGATCGGCTTCAGTTGGTCAAAGCACGATTTCGGAGCAGATTCCACTGAAACAGCGTTTTCTCGAATGTCATCTCGTGTAGCGCAGCGACTCTTGTGGAGAAGTTCGGTAGGATAAACACACACCGAGAAAGCACGGAGCTCCACGCGCGACTTCGGTAGTCGGTATTTTCTAATCGCTTCCACTTCAGCTGGATCCCGCCATGGTCTCTAGCAGCACGCATTTCTTTGGATTCAAAGAAGTCATGCTCTCAACAGTACTTGAAAGAACTGTTCCAAAACTTGGAGGTGCTCCTTCACAAAAAAACATCGTCTCCTAACAGAGGAGCTAAGACCGTATGTATCAGTCTTTAGAATACCACGGGTGAGGATGCTAAAACAAAAAGGCAGCACACGAATTTGGTATAGGCTTTCAGTCGAAGTGAACACCGACTTCTTTGCACCCACAGACCAGCTCATTTGCGAGAAATCTGCGTGAGACAACTCCAACGTGAAAATATCTCTTGCTCTCCAAGCTTTGCGGGACAGTGTCTTGTGTTGGTAACGGACAGCTGTCAGTCTTTGTCACCTGACTGATCTTGCAAGAATCCACGCACAGTCGTAGGGTACCATCTCTTTTGTGGACCAATACGATAGACGACGCCCAGCTAGACTTACTCGTGCTTTCTCTCGTGTAGTTCGTGCAGAATTGCCTAAGTCGCACGCGAACGGAGAGTGCGAGTTTTTTGTCAAACTGGTAAAGCTTCCCTCGTGTCGATGCTATGTTCCACCAGTGTCGTCCGAGTGATTTCGTGTTCGCTCGCTGCGAATGCTTTGCGTAACGCTTAACCAGCTTCGTTGTACTCTTGTGTTGTCCCGTTGCCACGTAGGTACCGTGACAATCTGTCTTTCCTATTTAAAGGTATTTTAGCTGTACATGCCAGCATGGCCCCGTGGTGATAGGTAAACTCCACCTCCACGATCTCCTTGGCCCAAAGGTTCTTACATCCCCCTACTCGGGGATTAACGCCCGGATCTCCTATTCCATACCATGTCAGGAAGTAAGTGTTCTGTTGATCAGAAAACTCCTTGGATGAGGTTGTCACACCGAACGGGAACAGACTTTGTTGTTCCGGATTTTATATACACTCCCCTGACGACGTTGACTGAGTGGTGGTAGGTGCTTTTCTGTTAGTTTATATTGCTGTCGCTTCTTCGGCAATTTCTCCAGCCGTGAACCATCGTACTGTCTCCTCCTGACATAACGAACATGGCGATACGGCGCTTTTGTCCACCGATCATTTGCGAGGTTAGTCTGATTGCACCTTTGGAGGACATTTTGTTGCCAGAGGCATCAAACACTGGTCTGTGTTGATTAAACCGATCCCAGCATCCTTTGCAGCTTGAAGCATGTTTAAGGGAACAATATGATCTGAGAGCCTGTGCCTAACTGCGGGTTCAACCTCACCTTGCGCGGGTTCGGTTGGACCAGTCAGATGCGGCCGGCGACGAAAAGGATAACAGATTTATCAAAAAAAAAAGCCAAAAAACAAAAAAAAACAACGGCGGGGAGGGGAGCAACACTAAAAAGAGGAAACAAAAAAATGAACACCAATGCGACGGTGCGCCCTTATACAGGCGTAGAAATAGATGGTTAGAAGTAGATCAAACGAGTAGATCCCTTTAACATGTTGACCACTCGACGGTCCCTCCTTATTCTCTACATAACTACATTTTGCGTGTCATCCCAAGAACAGCTAGTTTCGTCGTTGTGAATTCCCCCATTAATTCGCTGTATCTCGTGATTTTTGCGATCCACTTCTTGATGGATGCAGTGAATATTTTTGCTGGTTCGTCTGTGGCTGCGTTTTGGGCACGTTTTCCATGTTTCTCCGTTTCTTTTGTAGTATGCAGTCTCTTTTCAGATGCCCTGTTTGTTATAAGCGTAGCACTTCATGACGGATTTCTGTTTGTCCGCTCTCATTTACGGTTTTTCTTTGCTGTTGGTATTCCTGTTGTGCTGCTGCGAATCTGAGAGCATCTTGCTTTTTCACTGTGGTAAGCCATGCACCTTCCGCCTTCCTGGCGACTTTGTGGATTTCATTCCGATGCATTTCGCATTGCCATTGCTACTTCTTTGCTTCGTTCACATCTTTGAGCCATGTTCTTTACCATTTCACAAGCAAATTCTTTGGGAGCAATATCGATCGCTATGAAGAGTTGGGGATACTCAGGCCAGTTTGTAAACTGGCTTACTAACTCTCCTGCTGTCGTATGGGAGAGTTTTTCCTACGATGCCTCCGGAAGGGCAACTCTTATTAGCCTTTCCGATCCGAGGCAGTATCTCGCTACGTCTCTAAATTTCCTGAGTCGTTTGAGATCCATATGTGCCTTCATTTGCATTGAAGAATCATTGTATCTGAATCGACTGTAGTGCTTCCACTGAGATTCTGAGATTTTTCAGTAGCGCCTGCGCTCCCGTTTTAGAATAACCTTCCAGCTTTGATGTAAGTAAATGTTTGAGTAGGTTATTTCGCAGCCTATGATTTTGATATATGTATTTATTTATTTCCGTTATTTATTTGGCATAAACTGAGGAACGGGTCATGATCTGGAACAATTCATAAGTTGCTGCAGTGTTCTTCCCTTCTGCTCCCGCAAACATATTGGAATCAGCTTCTCATTGTAAAGTGGTCGTCTCACTGATCTACCACCACAGGGCCTCCACTTCATCAGCCTTACTTCCCACTTTGTCTAGTCTATGTCAGTAATTCTGGCTTCGACGACCACACCCTTATGTTTAGTCCTTGCTCGCAATACTGCGTATGATAATACCCTGTCATGAAGTCAGAGATCTAATATTTGGCGCTCCATCCGCCGCCGACATTTTCTAATGAGATCTTCTGCTGCCCTGGTTAAGGCCCACGTTTCACATCCGTCCAGCAGAGTGGATAACATGCAGGTGTGAAAGTAGCGTCGCTTAGTCATAAGCGGATTCATTCGGCTCCTCAACAAGGCTCGGGCTTTTCTGCTAATAGTCCACAGGACGCTGATCCTTCGTTTCTTTTAATTTCTTACTTGTCCATGATCTTGGGAAAAAGGTATATGTTGGCCCAAATACACGAAAGACGACACCAACCCAATTTCTTCACCATTGGCTCTGACAATAAGTTGCTGTCTATTAGGGCTGTTTGACATCCATTTTGTTTTGCTCGAATCAATTTGAGCCCGGTCACGTCTTGGTCACGTCAATTAGTTTATTAAGCATTGCTTGTAGCCCATCGATTGTAGGTGAGCACAAAAACAAATCGCCGGTGCCTTGGTCGCCCCAGTAAATTTCACCAAAACACGTTTGAAGCGTTACAATGTATAGCAGTGGAGTTAAGGATTCGCCTTGACTAATACCACGTTGTATGTCTATCGCCATCGTGCCTAGGGCAAAACCGATCATCCGGCAGCATACAGCTGTCTAATCATTCTAACTGTTCAGTCATCCACTCGAAACTTCTCCATTGTCTTAAAAAGTTTTTGTACTCGATTATATCAAAAGCTTTCTGGTAGTCAATACGACCATGTTGAGCGGCTTTCTCAACATAGAACAATCATTACATTAGTACATTCACAAGGTCTTCCGCGCATAAAGGCATCAGATGCTTCGTCACTCCAGATGGGATTCGTCAGCTCCAGGGGCGTGTCGCCGCGAACTCTCTTACATGCACCACAGAGCTCGTCTGCTGTCATCGGGCGTCTCGAAGAGCCGATCGCTGAGAAGATAAAGGGACCATGACGGGATTTTTAGAGATCGTTAGATAACGTAGTTGCAATAACCATGGATTCTTGTAGAGTAGTTGTTGGGCTACGATCAGGCTAACGGAGTTAGGCTATTTATCAATGTTCAACGCTCGCCCATGTCTTGCATGCTTTATCTCCAATTTATCTAACGCATTTTTCGTGTTCGTGGATCGGCCCTTGTGCTTGCGGAGATCATCGGCTACTGACCGTCTAACTTGTTTGCACAGTAAAGTGTATAACACAAAAGTTATTGATCCAATTTAAATCCAAATTCCTGTTTTCTGCTTTCCTGAATTAGCACCGGTGTTTCAATAAAAATTCGCGCCACTCTTTCCTGACATGTTTGTGTTATAGCTATGCAATCACACGCAGCCTTCACGAAACTTGGGAAGTCGAAGCCATTTGCCGGACGTGGCTGCGTTGCCATTGCTGCTTGTAGCTTGAGCCTGTAAAAAGCAGAGGTAGTGGTCCTCACTTCTGCAGGAAATGAGCAGATTTCATGCACATACACATATTCGCATCTCCGGTGATTACTCCCAAATCCCAATGCATCCGAAAAGAGTCGACACGTCGTGTACGTACTTCGAATTCTTGCACAGAAGGAGAAATATTTCTCGAAGAGTGTTTCCGTTTGAACTTCGCCCGATTCACTTTCTTGCAAATTTTTTCTTGTAGAATGTATTGGATTGGCGATAACAAGATTATTGGAGTCGCAGAATGAAAGCAGCGAAATACCACAGTCATCCTGATTACCAGTTCCAAAAGGTCCGCAAGCAATACTTTTGCCTCCTGAGCTTCAATGATTGCACCAAATTCGCCGCAAATGATTTTCAGCATCGCTTTATTTTTTGTAGTTAACCTTTCAGCTTCTATTTCGTGCAGGAATCGCTCGAGCTCGTCGTCTGCTGCTGCAGAGGTCGGAGCGTGCACTTGAATGAGGCTAGGACGTCTTCTATTCATAAGAAGTTCTGCTTCTATTACGCGATCACTAATGTAACGCCCACCGACAGGCTTTTTGTTCATACGTAACGACATTATGACCCTACACCAGCATACGTGGGAGCATTGTGACGTTGTAAAGCACATAACAAGATTCAAGATGAGTGCACTCACGGTTCGGTCTCTGAGTTTCAGCCAGTCCAATTACAGCAAATCTCATGTTATCGACATTGGCTTCGAAATTCGCGAGTCGCGATTCAGAGCATGGTCCCTGGACGTCGATTGTGGCTTGGCTATCATCATAAAAGTTCTTACACAGGAATCGCTACCGCAGGGTAGATTTGAGGGCGAAGTCATCGCTGGCAGGAAATCATCCTACGTGGTGCGAGTAGACGAATGGAATGCAGATTTTGGTATTTCATCGTGAATTCTGATGAAGAAATACAAAGTTTTTGATATTCCATCGTGCATTTCGTGAAAAACTTATCAAAGTTCCCTCGTTTGAAAACCGTTACCTCAGGTAGGGCTACGGCGGCTAAGACAGCCGATTTCATTTTCAGAACGAGATGACCCACCTGCGTTGTGGCTGTCAACGATGACGGGTTCGAGCTCTTCATCCTCGGCTTCAACCGGTCATCTTTGTGACTGTAACAACTTTTTTCCAACATTTACACTTATATGTTCACCGGTCGCACGAGAAATTCTACCTCGTGCAGCTGCGACTTGATCGAAATTCAGATGGTATCCAACGTTGTCGAATACTCTTACATGCAGCTGCTCATAGACGATCTTCTAGAAGTTCTTTCTCCTGTGTTTTGCAGGCTTTGCTAGAAGGAAAAGTCTTAACATGGCCTTTAGGCTCCAATGCTACTTTCCTTGATTTCCGTCTTAGGTGCCATCATCTTTTCGTGTTGCATTCTCTCGATTCCACCATGTCGCTTTGCAAAGCTTGCGCATCTAACACGAGCGTAATTGTTTCACCCATAATCTTTCTACAAGCGGCCACCAAATTCCAAATTACACAACCGCTGCTGCTCCACTTCGGTGAGGTTGCATTTCTCATTTATCGTTAGCTCACTAGCTCCTCTAGCTGTTCAGCAGTTCTAGTTGAAACTCCCTGCGTCTTTTGGCTCAACAAAAGGATATCTCACAAAGTTTTCTGCGCAAAATCGTGGAGCATCATTTGCACAAGGTCTTCATACAATCGACAGTGATTTTCCCAATGAGCACGCTAAAGAGAAGAGAAAGGTTGGCTGGCAAAAGCTGTCCTGCCGTATTCGAAAAAATCGTCGTGCGGAATCCCTGTCCATCGTCGAACAGAAATTCACGGATAAAAGGGTGATAACAAGCAAGACGATAAGATTTATCTAAAGCTGAACGAAATAGAAGTGATACAGCGCTAGGCCGACTTTTTGCGATGGTCCTTGACAGCATCACCGCCGAGGCAGAAACACCGGTTATTTTTGAAAGGAGTGAAAGTTGATGTGGAGACCTGTTCGATCACGTCGTTCGCAATAGGACAATTTGGCGATTCAAACCGGACATATTGTCAAGATGAAGGTCCTGGACGCAGATCAGAAATAGTCTGGAGATTTCATGAGTTCCCTTCGATAAGAGACCACAGAGCCCTTACTCAAATCCCATGGATGTCTCAAGGTGGTCAAACTTGGAAATAGGAGCATGCATTAGCCCAAGCAGGAACTGAAATAATCTCGAAAATACCTTGCAAAAAGCGGGGATCAACTCGTTAGTACTAGCCACCGTCGACGCCGCCTATCGTCTTTGGGGATGGGTAAAAGCAGGCAACAGATCTCAGTTTCACTGTACTGTTTTGATAAGAAATTAGTGATAAACACTCTTCTGAAATTGGTTTGCTTTATTAGCTTTCTATTGATGGGCTGTGATGTCTATGTAATCACAATTTCGGTCCACTCCGTATATCGCCTGCTGAGCACTGAGTGGAGCGAGTCCATTTAGCCTTGCGACGCTGGCTACCGTGAGGATTTTACAAGTTTCCAATCATTTTATACACTGGCAAAGCGAATGGCCAGGGGTATGACTGGATACTATAGGGTGCGCCCTAAATATGGTAACGAAAGAATTGAGCTACAAAAGCTCCAGTTTAAATTGATACATGGTGAATTTATGTGAGTTATTTACTATGCATCACATCTACAAAATGAACACACGGTCATCTTATTTAACCGTATCCTATTTTACTTATAGCTCAAAAGTGCTTCGGCTACTCATCGACGGCGGCACGCAGAAGTTCTTGAAAAACTCCAGCCTGGGATTTTTTCATTGGTTTCTTATGAGAAGCGAAAGTGGTGCCTTATGAAGCGCAGGCTCTCATTTCCAGCATGAACTATATCCAGCAACCCATCACATTGTGGTCCGGGAAATTCGTAGGAGGATTGGAAGCTGGGATAATCGCGAACACTTCCTCAGCACCAGTCTTTTTTCCCATTCAAGAAGCATATGGAGCTTTCGAATCTTACAATGATACCTGGATACAATTGTATTTACTAGGGGTAAACTCTTCTCATCGGAGTAGAATATACAAACAAATCAGCAGCTATTTTCCTCGTATTTCGGCAGGTTTTGCAGCTTACTCCTTCCTATTTAACTGTATTCGAAAAAGGGGTTGTGTGTGCGGCAATACGACCGTCTCAAGGTTTGCACCGACCTGTCTGCACATCGCGATTCAAGAGACTTTTAGTGGAGAAAATGTTGAAACGAGGAGCGATTCCGGAAAGGGACTCACCAAATCTCTTGAAATCTTCTGAAATCTGACGAATTGAGAGTACCAACGCACCTTGTATTTCTGAAGCAGCGACTGTACTATTCGACAAGTTTTCGCCTCAATGACCGTAACTCTTAAGCCAAACTCAGGTCTATCTCCCCCTTCTTCACCTACATAAGTGCTCCTAGGTGTTTCGAGAACACCTCATGAAAGGCCTCCAAGGTGCCCGAAGGGCGCAGTACCGATGCATAGGCTAATGTTTGAAAACCCCAAATCTTCCGGAAATCAATATATTATATATATNTATATATATATATATATATATATATATATATATATATATATATATATATCAAGGGTGATGCGCTGCCATCAGCAATAGTCCGACTCTCGAGCGACCTTAATAATTACCTCCATTCTACAGGGTCAAAGGTAGCTCGGATTGAAAACACATGAAATACCTTAAGGAACTCAGAGGGCAAGGTGCCAAAAAAAGAAATCGGGCAAGGTCATGTTCATTGCTTTTGGGTCTCAGCTATTTAAAATTGCTTTTTCGATGCTCGAAAAAACAATTCTAAATAGCTGAGAACCAAAAGCAATTTTTGTAATTCGAAAAAGTGAAGTGCAAATATGCTGTGAATTTATAGGCTCTGAGGAATGCCAAAACGTCCGTCACCACTAAAATTGTTGATATCAATCTCGAAGGCTCATTCAAAATCTACTTCAACCCTTTGGCGACAGCGCGGCTCAACGGTGAGCCGCACCCCCCTCACTCGTTGCTTTTCTCGATTATTTGTATTTCCTGGAGTTTTCACACATAATGGGCCTGCAATCACCAAATAACGCTATACACAAAGCGGGCTGAGAAAAACATGGTCAATTTCTGAGAACTAATAGTATCAGGTGTGTGCATTGAATTCCGCCGCTTTTTGCGTGCAAAAACATATTTATTACAAAATTAGATCCAATTGTACTTAAATCAACGTATTGCCGACACTTCTTGCCATCTTTCTGATATCTTTTTGACTCCGCGTCTAAAAAAATCATCTTTTGGGGCAATCCAGTCATCCACATATTTTTGCACTTCTTCGGCACTCCGGAAGCGTGTATCTGCCAGACTGACTTGCATGGACCGGAATAGGTGGTAATCAGAAAGTGCAAGATCCGGAGAGTATGCGGGTTGAACAAGCTGATCCCATCCAACAATTGCAATTTTTTAAGGACATTCTTCCGGCATGTTCGTGGTGGAACAGCGCCTCATGATATTTTCTTGCGACTAACGGCCGCTTTTAGGTAAAAGCATCCTACAAACTGTCAAGTTTGTGTTCGCAGCGGGAAACAGTAACAGTTTCGTTCGGGCTCAGTAGCTCACAGTTCACAACACCCTTCTAAACCCACCATCGAATGCACACATAGCACTACTTTTTGGCGATGGACATTTCGCTTTCGTTGCAAACGCAAAATTTGAATGAAGAGAAACCTTCACAGCAGGTTCGTTCAGATGGAGCTTTTCCTCCATAAATTCGAAAAGCATCCGGTGGGCTTCAATGCCACTTTTCTAGAAATTAAACTGCAGGAGAAGGGCCCCCCGGAGAAACGGTTTATCACGTTCCATGACAAATCAGTCTGAGAGCAACGGGATTTTGTTGGAAAACTGATTTTGTCTTTTAGTAGGTGGTCAATACCCTATTTCAAGAATATGACAGGTTTCACTGGTAAACATCTAACATGATTCGCGCAATGACTCTTCGAATCCGGCGGCGTAAATTAATGCACACACCTAATCAATTCAATCCTCTCACTGAAAGTAACACTTTGTGAGTATACTAAGGGCATAACTGCGAGAAAAATTATTCCATATACCCCCTGTCTGCCCACTACCTTTGACCAATTGTTTCAAAACCACCCTCCAAATCGTCCACCGCAGGCTGATCCATTTCGACTCTCAAAACAATATTATGCGGAAGACCAGAATTAACTAAAGTTGAAAACTAATAATTACCTAATTCACTGCTATATTCCGAACTAAATCATGAGGAAAAAGCTTGATTCATAGTAGATAAATGTATCGGCCGTGGGGCAGTGCGGCTCAACGGTGAGCCGCGGAAGCGGAAAGCTTCGAAATGCACTTGTCCCTCGTGCGCACGTCGTCAAAGAGTTGAAAGATTACTTTGGTCATGCCAAAAATTGAGTCATTCCTGAACGCTCTCAAGACATTATTCAGTGAATCATTTTGCAAATTTGAAAATCGGGATTGCGACTGTGGCGCACCCACACAGCCGCATTGTGGCGATGAGTCATATTTTGGATGATCTTATTATTATTATTTCTTATTATTCTTCCTTTTGTTCACAATGCTATCAGTGATAGAACACAGGAGAAACGTAAAGACCCTGAAAAGTACATAGATACATGAGGACAGATATCGTGACCAAAAAGTACTCTAATCAGCACGCAAAGAAAACTTCCTCCCTAAAGCTTCCAGAAAGACTGAAAGTTGCAACAGATGTTGGTCCATGAAAGTTCAACCGTTTCATCAAGACGGAATCCTTACTATATG